AACCTAGCATCCTTAAACTTTCCGCTAACACATAAAATAATAATTCTACCTTTTGTATACAATGATAATTAATGTTTTGAATTTAATATTAATGCTTCATCTAAAAACTTTATAGCTTCTTTATAATTATCATCATCCCAATATAACTTATAGCCTAAATAATAATTTTGAATACCTTTTTTATATAATTCTTCAGATTTCTGGATATCTTAATCTGATATTTGATAATAATTCAATTAAGTTAATTTTAAGTCTTAAATATAATATTTTAATGAATCTTGAAAATGATTTGATGATTAAGCCATTTCAATTTCAATTTTAGATAGAAATGATTTGAATAGGATAGTTTCTGTAAAAAAAGAATTCATTTGATTTGAATTTAATTTTAGGAATTATTCTTTGGATCTTTGATATTTATTTCTGATTCCTAGAATTAATGAATTAAATGATTGTTAAATTGAATCCATAAATAACTTCAACCTATTAATTAAATGATCACATTCTTTATCAACTTTTTCAATATGTTCAAATAAAATTGGTAATTCATATTGATGTTGAGGATGAGAACAATGGATTCCATTTCTATTGCATTACATACAATATAATCTATTCCCTTTACAACTTTCATCAAAGCAAACTAGTTTTACATTGTTCTCATGTCCTTCATTTTAACATCTTATCACTATATCCTAATACATAATTTTTATATTAATATTATTTCAAATTCTATTAAAATTTATAATACCTAGATAATATTAAAATTTACAAACATCAATAATTATCTTCAATTATTGATGATGTTGTTTGTCTAAAATATATTTCAATTTGATATTAAGGATGCTTTATGTCTATCCTATTGATCAATTATTCAATCCTGAAAATAACCTGGAAATAAGTTTATCACTATTTGATATTTGAGAAAGGTGCGTATTTATTTATCAAAATAATTTGTAAGCCGATATTTAAAAGTAATTTTTTTGTACCTTTAATCATACCATAGATATTATGTTAAAATGAATTAGTTTTAATAAATCAGTTTTAATGATCATGGAAAAAATATATTAGAATGAAATTTACATTAGGTAAATAAATTAACAATAAATATTAGAATAGGCAATAATATTTAACACATTTATGAGGTTTTTGGAAACAAACTATTACTATAATTGAAATTATGAGAAAATTAAGATAAGGTTAATTAGATTGCAAATGATAACAATTCTTAATTGATTTATAAATATTCAGGTAATTGAACCAAAAGAACTCTAACCTATAATAAAAGAAAAAAAATGAAGTTAGAAGATAACTATATTAATTGAATTAAAAGTATGGAGGATTATATCAGAAATTAAGCAAGGCATCCTTATTGAGGTTCTATTTCAATTTTGGGTTTATATATCGGCGGCAATTATTATTCAAAATAGTCAATTTAATAGAATGAGATATTTTCGCAATAATATTTGGTCTTGAGAGAGTATGTATAATGCTGTATTAGGTGATTAAAAGTAAAAATAATTTGAAAAGAATATCAATTGCTTCAATTGTTTCACCTTTTATGCAAGGGAGCTAAGATCTTGAATCTGCTTTTTTTTACCAGCGGCCAACTTAGACCATTCGCTAAACTTCAATAGATAATCCATATAGGTTTTCTATAGCCTTTTAATAATAAGTTAATTTCTTATAAGTTTAATTTTTTACTTTATAGTTCTTCTAAGAACAGATAAATACATTAGTTAAAACTAAGCAATAGGTTAGACCATAAGAAATCAGAGAACTATATATCAAATATAAAGGAGAGAAAGCAGGTATTGAAAAAAAATCAAAAATAATTTGATAAATTGAATATTATAAGTTGAAGAAACGTTAATTTTGATGATGGTTGAAATTGATAAAGAAAGAAGCAAAATTTCAAGAGAAGGTAAGTTAAGTGAACACTTATTGTACTTGAATATTAGATTTAAAGTGAAGTTATATGAATTAACCCATTAAATAGTATATCAAAATTTGGAAAATGCTAGAAGGATTTAAGGAGAAGTGTTTAGAATAAATTATTGATTAAGCGTTTTTTAAGATATGATAAATAAAAATGCCATATCTTAATTGGCATATCTAGGCAATTGCCAAAGTTACCCTTTTACTTTTTAAATTTCCTGTTTACTCCAATTCAAAAATTAGAATAACTAATTTCAAGAATTTATAAGCCTTATCAGGAGTATTTATCAAGATATTAATGAATCCGAAACAGAATTAGTATAATTGGGATCCTCAATAATCTACTAACTCGACTACACAACTAGGCATAGGCATTAAATCTTAAATTAAATAATAATTATTTATATTATAATCTAAAATTAACTACTTTTATTTAGATTAATTATAACTTTGTTTTGGGATTCTATACTGAATTCAGACAAAGAAAAAAAATTTAATAAATTTCACCAAGCTTTTAGTTTATCAATAAAGTATTTGGTCGAGATAATACAGTTTTTTTTTTTAGTCACTTATGATTGATTAATG